GTTTCAGGTGAGCCAAAGTTGGATGGAATAAACTGACAAACAGAAGCAAACACAAACTGTTCAAGGCCGATGTTTTTCTTTTTGGTCTATAAAAACAATACTTCTGTTGGTGGTTATTTGGTCATCATTTCACATCTAACCTAAGGAAAATACTCATTGTATCAGCAGAGTGATACGACAAAATGTGATGAAACTCCTGTCTTAGTCCTGAATATAGTTTCTTCTTTTTGATAGTTTCCTCTTTTTGATATATATTATTACTGAAGTGTTGTGGCTTTTTTCCCTAACTACAATAACAAAAGATAAAAATAATAATTTAAAAAGTAAAACCAGATATTTTTGCAAATTCTATGGTTTGGAATATACATCTTTAAGAAAAATACCATGAGACTTGAGATAATTTGTGAGTTGGCAATGCTGCCTGAAATACGTTAATGATGGTCTTTCATTTCAGTCTTAAAAGGAAGTGCAAATTAAAGGCCTCATTTTGCCAGTGACTTCTGTTATGAACAAATGAGTTCAGCATGTCTGAACATTGTGGTGAATACACAGTTACAACAACAGCAGGACTTCATAAATACAGCATCTGCCTTTTAATAGATAATAATTAGTTTGGCTTATAGGAGAAACAAATTAGGTACATCGATTTCAGTATTCCATCTTCTGATGTGTATTTGCCTTGGACCTTCCCTGTTTATTCTAGCTCAGAAGTCTATGTATAAAATCTAAAATGTGTGGTTTTGCAGTAACTTGTTACCCTAAGTATATGGGAAAGAGGATACTGGCTGAGAAACTTGTTTCTCTCTATTAATATTCAGAATTATAAAAGTTTTGGGATACGGAGATAGTGTGTTAGAATAATTTAAGGTCTTCCATGTGGGTTATTAACAACGTAAAGGTTATGTTGCAAAATAATTCGCAATTCCTCTTCCTGTACCAAAACTCTTTGAAAACGAACGGGGACTGGGGGGGAGGTGACGCACGAATGACACACACGTGACTGTAGTTGCAGCCACTCTGACAGCGTCTGTCTCTGAAGACAGTAAAGTCTTTCCTGTTTGTCTCCCAGGAGAGTTGGGGGTGGTGTGATCTTCCACTTTTTAAAAGTCTGATCTTTGTAATGAGGGCTTTCACTTGTCGTGGGTGAGGCTGTGATGGTGTTGCTGGAGCATTCTGATGCCGAGCTGCCGTTTGGCTCTGAGGCACGCAGTTCATTCTTCTCCTGTGAACGCACACTCCTTTGGGGTTGCCCTGTTTAAAATAGGCCTGATATTGAGAAGAAAAAGGGACAAACGTAAGACATTTGAAATCCACACGATTAAACAGCAGTTTGCATTACAAGTTCCAGCTTTGGAATGTTTTCAAGTAAATTTAAATTGTCTTAATCCAGATAGCGTTTGTTTTGAAAAAAATATGGAACATTTGTTTTGAATGATCAAGCATTGAAGCAATAATTTCCCTGCAGTGTTGAGGGTAGAAGGAGGGAGAAGATTGCTCTCTGACATGGCAGTCTGAGGCCGTACACTCCCCCATGCAGAGGCTCCAAGCAGCATACATTTCTCTTTCCTGCACCCAGCCCCTTCCACCCCCTCGCCACATTAGCTTTTGTCTGAGTCCCCTCCCTGGCTCCCCCCGGCTCTGCCAGGAGGCAGCTTTCCCTCCTTCGTAATTCCCTCTGTTCTTTCCTGTGGTTTTCTTCTGTCTCTTGCCACTGCTGAATGCTTTCTGTCCCTTTTCCCAGTCAGCCCTCCCTTTCATCCAATGAAGTATACCCATTTCTCCTACCTATCATCTCTTACGTGATTTTTTTTTTTTTTGTCCTAAACAGCTTTTCTTCTGCTCTACCTTTCCTGTCCTGTCATGCTCTTCGTTTCTCTCTGAAAACTTTGCAAGTAGTTGCCTTTTCTTAACAGCAATTATATTTTCTGCATAACTGTTGCCTCCTTGACCAGTCTCTATCTTCTGTATACTTATAAAAAAAAAAAAGGGGCAAACAAAAAAGATAGAAAATTCACATCCTGTGTCTTGACTCCTGCTTCTATTACTTTATTCTTCTTCAGATATCTGTTGTCTTTTCAGATGCATTGCACAGGCCTTTCCTTCCGAACTTCCCAGTTTTGCTTCTTATACATGTTTGCTTCCAGATGCCCCATGTCTTTTGCTTATTCTTTCCCCTTACATTCTTTACTCTCTGTTCCCTTCTCTGCAGCAGACCTTCCTCTCCAGCAGCCCTTCTTTCTTCCGGAAAGCAGAGTCGCAGGACAGGAGGAGGGCAGGATGCTTCCTTTGCCCACATGCTCCTGTTATTCCTTCCAGCTCCTGTTTTTTTTAAAACTTGCATAATCCCACGGTAGATGTTGCTTTCAAGAGATTGTTTTGGTTTGTTCCCCTAGCCCTCCACAATGGTTTTCTGAGATCCGTTCTCTAGAAAGTGGGGCATACTAGATATGCTGTCTGTATCCTGGATTTAGTAAAGGAGTAAAAGTTTTGAAGTGCACATCTACCGAAACACTGAGCTCATGGTGTTCAGAGAAGAGCCACCAGAATGCTTAAAAATATTACCAAACAGTGAATGACTTTAGGAGCTTAATCTTCTGTAGTTTAACAAATAGAAAATGATACAGCAAAGAGGTTATGGTCTGTAGACTATACCTCTACCTGACAGATCTTCATTTGAAAAAAAAGAATTAAGTCCTCTCTAGTAATGAAAATAAATATATTGCAAAATACAGTGCATGCAAGCTAGAGGTAGCAAATGCACACTAAAATATGGTGTGTATATTTAACAGCATTCATGTGATTTTATGACTTGTGTTATACAGGAAGCCATTCTAGTTTTGTTGCAATGGTTGCTTCTGACTTTGTGACCATGGATATATGTAATCGAACAGCATTTTTTTCTCATGCCTGAATCTTTGTCTGTTTAAGCAGAAAATAAAGCTGGTACATTGAAATCCTTTCCTTTAATTGCCATTGCACCCATGCATACGTCTTTGCATATTGTGTGCTGACAAATGCCAGATCACTGATATCTTTGAATATCAGTGATATCCAAAGTTGATTAACACTGATTAATATAATAAAAAATAGTAAAAGGAAACACACTTTTCATGATTTCATTACCTCAATAAGAAGTACTCCTGAGCACATGAATTGTGTCAAAACTTGCTCATCTCTTGTGAGGCCCCACCTGGAGTACTGCATTCTATTCTGGGGTCCCCAGTACAAGACAGACATGGACCTGTTGGAGCAGGTCCAGAGGAGGACCGTGAAAATGATCAAAGGGCTTGAACACCTTCCTGTGAAGAAAGGCTGAGAGAGTTGGGGTTGTCCAGCCTGGAGAAGAAAACGCTCTGGGGAGACCTTATTGTGACCTTTGTGTATATAAAGGGGGCTTATAAGAAAGATGGAGAAAGACTTTTTACCAGGACCTGTAGTGATAGGACAAGGGGCAATGGTTTTAAACTGAAAGAGGGTAGAGTTAGACTGGATATAAGAAAGAAATTTTTTTTTTTACGATGAGGGTGGTGAGGCACTGGCACAGGTTGCCCAGAGAAATTGTGGATGGCCCAATCGTGAAAGTGCTGAAGGCCAGGCTGGATGGGGCTCTGAGCAACCTGGTCTGGTGGAAGGTGTCCCTGCCCATGGCAGGGGGGCTGGACGAGATGGTCTTTAAAGGTCACTTCCAACTCAAACCATTCTACGATTCTATGATCTTGTTCAGACAGTTCTGGTTTAAACCAGTGATATTACTTGAGAGAGAAAATCAGAAATGAGTTGCCTACAGATATGGCATAAAGCTCATTCTAAGTGTAGGGTATTGACCATCCTGAAATATATATAGTCTAGCAACAAGAATTAAAAAGTCTTTAAAAATGGTAAGCTGTAAAGTAAATGAAAATATTTGTCGTTTACCTTACTTGCAGAAAGAGCCATCTTTATGTATTGATCCAGCTTTGGTATTTCAGGTATGGGTTTGGTTCCAAAAAAGCGTGTATGTGTGTTTGCCGTGCAACATACTCTTATTGTTAAGATTGCATGAACTTTCACTTTCCCTCGTCTTCAAAAATAAACCTGAATATTCTCTGTGTTAAATTGACAAAGTACATAGTAAGAGTAGTCGTGTATGGTCTGTTGATAGCATG